CTTTGTGACCTGATCATAAAAGGCAATCAGGTTGGTCTGACATGATCTCCCCCTAATAAATCCATGCTGATTGCCCCTGAGCATCATCTCGGATGCCGGCCCATCACAAATGTGCTCCTTGATGATCTTCTCAAAGAGCTTCCCCAGGATTGAGGTAAGACTGACGGGCCTATAATTGCCCGGGTCCTCCCTTTTCCCTTTTTTGAAGATGGGGACCACATTAGCTACCTTCCAATCGTCTGGCACCTGGCCCAAGCACCACGATTGCTCGTAGAGCCGTGCCAGGGGCCCTGCAATAACCCCAGCCAGCTCCCTCAGCACCCTGGGGTGGAGAGCATCCGGACCCGCTGACTTGAATGCGTCCAGCCCCTCCAGAAGCTCTCTAACCCGGTCCTCCCCAACCTGAGGTCTGAAGGCGATCTCCTCGCGTCCGGCTTCTATCACAGCAGGGAAGTCCCGGTCCCTGCACAAGAAAACGGAGGTGAAGAATTGGTTAAAGAGGTCCGCTTTATCCTCTGACGCAACCACCAGATTGCCCCGCATATCCTGCAGGGGCCCCACATTACCCGGCGCCTTCTTCATCCTCCCAATATATTTGAAAAAGGACTTTTTGTTTAAGTACCTGTTGATGAGAGAAAACTTTCTAATTCAAAATCATCAAAACCACTTTTTTTTTCCCTTCAATTTTTGAGCTTCCAATTGTCAGACCTGATCAGGAAGGCCAGGCTAGGTCAAGTACCTAAGCAGCCACACCTGCAGAAAGTTACCAGCCAACAACTCTGCATCAGTTTAGGAACAGCGAGTGGCCGGACTGGCTCCGGTTTCCAGACCAGTTGAAAGTTCTGACTTAGTCTGCTGTGGCAAACCTCCTGACTCTTGCGCTCTCTGGTTTTCTTGGTTGCTAACCTTGGTTTTTGTCTTTTTCATGGACTTGAGCTTTAGATTTGCTAACCGATCTGGGTTCTGGTCCTTGACCCTGGCTCTGTGTTTTGACTTTGACCTGTAGATTTCCCCTCAGACGTGATAGCTCATCTTCTATCCTTCCAGATCCTGACTGTAACGTGTTGTGGATGCTACACCGGGATTTCCTCCTGGACTTGGTAATTTGGCTCCAGGATTTTGTCCCAGCCTCTGGCCCCCCAGCCACTCTTCAGTGTCTGGATCATTAGGCCAGGCCATCTATGACCCATCCCCATATGCTAATGATGTCATAAAATTATTCTAGAACTATAAATAAGCTCTAAACCCCCTAAGCTTTCGGTGGGAGTTATGTTTATACTGTTGTGAGATCAATCAAGATTTCCAAAGTAAAAAAAAAAAACCTCAAAAAAAGACATGGCATGATTTTCCCTATGATGAGATAGGCAGCCACATTGTTCAAATTGAATTATTTTCTGATGTAAGTCATTTAGAAAAACAAGCTTCCACCTACCTTGTGTGGGACAGTGACACATCACACTCTAAGAAAAGTGATAGATCAGTGATAGGCATGTTGATTATATTTTTGTGTTGTTATTAAGACTATTTGTTCTCCGAGCTCTGTGTCCTGGCATACTTGCAACTACACACTATCTGGCACCTATAGGATATAGTATCCAATGTACGTAAACTAGCAATTAGATGATCCTCATGCTGCTTATATCTTTCTACATTGGAACACTTTATACTTGGTGCCCAAAGAGCTGCACAGACATGTAGGGCTAAGACAGACTTCACCAGAAGAGGACGCATCCAGCAGGTCTGTGTGATTCACGAAAATTGAGTCCTCTAGGGTTACCTGTGCCCCTACTCCCTCCAGCACACTTTCAGGCCCTCAGTTTTACACAGCACAAATCATACTGGATTTCCAGTCCAGGTCTTCCACATTCCTCCCTCTAGCTAGCAGCTGTGGGAGCAGGCAGCCTGCCTGCCCTGCCCTGCCCTAGCCACAGCTCCCTGCTGGATCTGCATGGCAGCTCATGGCTGCCTTCGTTCCTGCTGTGGGGCAAACTACTAACCCTATCCTGTCCCATCGTTCCTCGCTTCCCTGATGGTGGCTCCCTGCAACCCCAGCTGCTTCACTGGGCACCCACCAGAGGCAACACTCAGCAGATCCTGTGAGGAGCAGGGACTAGAGCTAAGGGTGTAGCCACCTGTGAGGAGGAGACCCAGAGTGGGAGGGGAGACTAAGAAACTCATCAGTGGGGAAGTTCTCCACTCCTCTATTGCCAGATCCAGAGCCTGCTGCTTCTCTCCATCAGTCCCGCAGGTTTCCCACATAGGCAGGGCTGTCTCTGAGGAGCAGCGGCAGCACAGTGTCTGTGTGGCTCTGGTCTTGCCCCACCCAGGCCCTGCTCCTGTGAGGCAGCAGTGTGGGGTGGTGGCGCTTCATCCCCGCCTGCCCACATGTACCCCAAGGACCTTTCAAAATACCGCCAGAGGTACATGTACCCCTGGTTGACAACCCCTGCTCTATCTTGTTGTTTTTCTCCTGGCCCTACACATCTTCCTCTCTTGGCTGCCCAGGGCACACAGCTAACTTCAATAGACAAGTTGGAGAAAACCCTGAATAAAGACTAACCTGTGGCCTTGCAATTAGAGCACAGACTCCTGAGTTTTCTGGCCTACAACTCCATAAGCAAAGTTTAAATGTCCATGAATCCTGCAACCCAAACAAAAGCTTGCTCTTTATTTTGAATCATGCCCGCTAGTCCTGTCAGATGGATGCCAACCCTTTTTTATATGGACTGGTAGCCAAAAAATACTTCCATTCAGTCAACTGTGTCATATTAACAAATAATAAATAAAATTATAGGGAATATTTCTCAGAAAAAGGAACACAGTAAAAAACATGAAGCAAGAGAATATCATAAAACTGTCCCAGAATATTTGCTGGGGACATTAGAGAAAAATTTAATTATAAAGATATAGGATCTTGGCAGCAATTTAGTAGTTTTATGCATGATAATTCACAATTAGTGTTGCAGTTTTAAAAGGGTTGGAATAAACATGAGATCTGATTAGAGGTCTGTTTAAGCAGATCTGATTCCAGAATTAGAGCATAAGTCAAAGCATACTATTATAATTTACTGGGTAAATATAGGATAAGCAAGATCATTTGGAAGAGATTGCTGTGGTAGAATAAGTAAAGATTGCTGACAGGGTCAGAGTAATAAGACTTATCACCAGAAAAGTGAAAGGAAGCCATCACACATACCCTTGCACACTTACAAGCCACTGAAATCCCAGCGCAGAGGTACGCCAGCCTTCCTGAGCAACCAGCAATGAACTGCTCCTTAGGAAATCACTTGGATCATTTAGGTGATTTTGTGGTGGTAACTTTTACTGCGTGGCTTCAGCAAGGATTATAGGAAACGGTAAATTTACATAAAGACACAATCTAATTAAACAGTTTCAGTCTACGTCCCTTCTGTACTGGTAAAGACTTATCAGGGAAATATTTCTAGGCATTTTAGTTTTCCATGGCAACAATGAATTGGATATGCAACAGTTGGTGTACTTATAAATGAGGCTTATGGGATTAGTAATTGAATGCCTAGATTTATGATTTACAGCTGGTGTCACTAGCCTGTTTGTTGTTTATATCAATTATCATTGTGACACTTCCCTGCCCCCCTAAGAGGAAGCAGAAGGACAAAGCTACAAAACAACAGAACATTTTATCTATGCATTCCTTTTGATATTTATTTCTAACATTTTGGGATTAGGATCCTTTGGGAAAGAATTAGGGCCCAATTTTCAAAGTTGAAAAGCTAAAGTTTGGCACACAAGTCCATCTTTAGGGATATAAATAAGATGTCCCAATATTGTAGGTAGTCTCCAAATTAATTACACACAATAGGATTAAATCAGAAAGCAGCTTTCAGTTTTCTGGAGGGTAAAATTATATTGCTTGATGTGGAAATTGACCTAGGAATTTCTACATTAGAGTTATGGAGAAAATAGAATTGGCTTCGAAGTTTGTCCTGTGAAAGAGATAAGCATCATGAGAGAAAAGAGGGGAAAAATAGGCTGTAGAGCTATCTCAGGGCAAGGGATACCTTTATTGGACTTGGGGATCCACAGTCTTGGTGAGAAAGAGAGAAATATACAAGTTTGTTAGGACTTTGAAAGAGAATTAGATATTCTATTGTGGTTGTGTAATTATTTTATATGACTGAAGTAGTGGTAAAACAGTAAAGTTATTTCACTAGACATCCTGAGGCAAGAGTTTGAGCCTCACTTTGAACTTCTGCTAAAGACTGTCCCATGTTGTGAATGGGCAATTCAGCAACAATAAACAGAGTTTACAGGCACATGCCCAATACCACTGTGATGTGGCTAACTTCTGTTTCTGTGGTGGCTGTGCTTCACTGTGGCAATCCTTAGTTTGGTCCAGAGGCTGTGTAGGTTTGCCTTGAGTCATGGAAGGGGGGCCTTCAGCCCACAGGGCAACACCCAATTACAGCATCTATTCCCCTCGGTTGTGAATTCCACTTTGGCTTTATACAATGCAGACTCTCACCTTGGTTGTCTGACTGAGCTTTCAAGTGGTGGAGCAAGAAAGCTAGAGATATGAGCTTCCATGGCATTGAGGGCTATGCATAATTGCTATTGCACAGGAAACTTGACTGGGAATGTATCAGTTTACTTTACATGTAGGCTGACAAATCCAGTCCTTAGTGGTAGAAAGGCCCATACATACCATATATTGAGCAGTTTGATTCTTGTGAAACTGATTTATTAAAATAAAAAATTGTCTGTTTGTATTTTGAGTTTATCTTTAAAACATTACATTATGTTAATACATGAATTAAAACATTTTTGTTCCTGTTAAAAATGAAGTTTTGTACGGTGATGCAAATATGCTCACTTTACTCATACTTAGTGTTAAAGGACTGAATGCCAAAGTGTTCAGTCCTACTTTTCCCATCATATTCATCAAATAATATGGCCATTTTTTCTATATTAAATGTAATTTATCAGGAAGAACGGATAGTTGAAAGTTGTGGGCCCAGTACCTCATCTCATTAAGCACAGAGAAGACCATGTTCAGCTTCAACATGTAGGTGAAGGAAATAAGTGATGAGTTTAATGACTTTCTGACTCTGACTTTCCCAAAACTCATTTGTGCTATAAAGCAAGGAAACAGTGGATATTTTTTAAGTGCAGAAATCATTCTATTAATCTACCCTCCCTCCCCATCCAGAACTTCTCTCTTTTGACAGCTCTGTTTGATTCAGAAGATCATATTTCTGCTGCCATTTAACTGTTCACCTAGTACTGGACCAGCTTTCTCCCGTTTCCATTTCCCAGTGCAGAGGATCAACATCTCCCACTGGCCAATATTCTACCCACCATTACTTATATTTTTCACATACCAAGGCCAATCCTGTCCTATGTGATCAAACACTGAAATAATGAAATGCATCATCTATGGCCTTGTACCCTTCCCAGTATAAAGAGTCCAAAGTTGCTGAGGAACAGGGATCAAGCCTGGCTTTGTTTCTAGGATGATATTTTCTTCTTCAAAATCCTCTAGTATTCCTATCCATTCTCCAGATTCCCCTTTTCTCTTCTACTCAATGTTTCCATAAAACAATAGAACTATTTCTAGCTGATACCATAATTATGTGACTACTTCAAGAGTATATTGAAGGGGAAAAATAGGAAAATTCTCTAGAACTCTGGCCAAAAGACAGGCTTCCTCACCATCCCAACTCAGTAACTCTATCCTTAGCCCTTCAAATATTGGCCCTATTTTTATCTGTTTCAGCTATTTTGTACACTTACTTGTCTAATAATTGTTATTGATACAATATTGGGGGGCAGGAGGGTTGCCCTGTGGAAGGTAGTCTAAATGTATAGGAACAGCTACTCTAAGTTCCTAGGAAAATTATATATAGTCAAACAGGAAGCTCAGTGGCAATTCTTGCTGTTTCTTGTACAGACAAACCAACATTAAGATAATCCTAAATAAACTGTACTGCCATGGAAGGCCTGGAGATCAGTGGGATGACTAGCTATGGTCTGGGTGGATGGCAGAGGATCTACAGTGTTGTTTCGTGGACTTTTCAATTAGTTATAAGATTTTCTGCTACTGTTGGACTACAACTTCTGCTCCAGATTCATAAAAGTTTCTTGGATTTCAGTTGAACTAAATCAGTGTATACCTCTTAGGATCTGTCTTTAAGCTGCTCCACAATAGAAACATCTACCTGCATACAAGGGTAACACGGTCACATATTCCATTTAGTTTTCTTTTTCTGGAGACTTTTTGGATTTTTTTGGAAAAAGGGAAGATTTGACACTTTATATTAATGTTTATAGTTCAAAGGCCAGTTTCACGGATGTATGTTAGATTAATGTAAACATAACTTATGTAAATATGTACAATGAAAAATAAAGATAATATAACATGTTAAAATGCTGTTCATTGAAGAAAGGTTTGATTTATTTCAGCATAAATATTATTATTCATTTTCTTCTTGCATACTGGCTAATTGAATAGTCATAGATAATAACCATAGACTTTTAAAATTTTGATTTCATTGAATTGTTTATATGAAAGGGGAAACATCTGATCCAGTTTAGGATATACTCATTTTTATAATATATTAGAAACCCAAAAGTCAAGGTAAAAAATTCAATTTCAGATCCTGCTGTTTTGTGGACAGTAGGAATTATGTGATACCGAAGAGTGTGAGCTTTACAGAACAGGCAAATGGATTTAAGAAGGTTTTTGGTGGAATGAACAATAAGGAAGTAACAGACACCTCACAATACATTATGCAGTTAAGATGAAGAATTTATTATATGTACAGTTAAGCAATTTTATTGAAGATGTGTTGTTCTGTTTAAAGAAAAGGGATAAAGGTAACCAAAATATTTTTGGCATGAAAACTACAATATAGATTTAAATTGGACTAAAACAGAACCTACTTATTGATTTAAAAGAACACGGAACCTGAAACAACAGATTGCAGATTGCATCATTAACTAGGACAGTAAAAAACTGTACAGTACAAGCAACACATTACAATAAATTATGACCAATGAGGCAGTCTCTTTCATTTGGGACAAAAGGGATAAAAGGGGAGGGTGTTAAAATCTCATAAATCCACCATATCTCTTTTCCATCTCTGGAACCTCTTTGGAATAACTTTCCCCATCTTCTTCTGAAGGCAGAACAGAATCAGTGAAGCGCTTAAGAAATCCACCATATCGTTTCTGGTAGTCTAGCCACCATTCTGGCCTACCTACTCTTCTCATAAAGCCACCGTATCTCTTTTGCAACTCTTTGGCTTCATCTTCCAGTTCTGGACTGCGCTTTATGCTTCTCATGAAGCCGCCATATCTTTTGCTGACCTCCCCATCATTCTCACTTATTTCTCGATAATGTCCAGCTTCATTGTTGTCTCCTG